CTGGGCTCAGGCAGTTCTCTCACCTCCACCTTCCAAAGTGCTGGGAATATAGGCATGAGCCACCACCCCCAGCAGTCAGGTTATTTAATTTTTTATTGTTGAGTTGTTGGAGTTCTTTATGTAGTCTGAGTATTAATCCCTTACCACATATAAGATTTGCAAATATTTTCTCCTGTAAGGTTGTTTTTTTGTTTTGTTTTGTTTTGTTTGAGTTGGAGTCTCACTCTGTCGCCCAGACTGGAGTGCAGTGGCCGGGAGCGGCCACTGCAGCCTCGACCTGCTGGGCTCCGGCGATCCTTCCGCCTCAGCCTTCCAAGTAGCCGGAATTACAAGCGCGTGCTACCACGCCCGGCTAATTTTTTGATTTATTGTAGAGATGAGGTCTCGCCTGCCCAGGCGGGTCTCGAACCCGCGGGCTCAGGCAGTCCACTCACCTCAACCTCCCAAAGGTGCGGGATTACAGGCTGAGCCACCTAGCCTGGCTAGGTTGTTTTTTTAAGGAACTTTTTCTCTGTATATAAGATTTAATTCTTGATATCTAGTTTGGATACTAAAGGAAATTATGCAATGTAATTTCACTGAACTTTTTTTTGAGATTAGAATAAATTCACTTTTGTCTTTACTGATTTAAACAGTTTCATTTTCAGGAAGGAGGTGGACTGGCTGACTTGGAGAGCTTTCTGATTTTAAGACCAGTGTGTCTTTGTGTCTGAAATACCAAATGGTGATTATAATGATCTCTATTTATAAATTTTATTTTTTTTAATTAGCAATAAATAAACCCCTTGAGGAAGATACTTTGAAACTCTTCAAATATCCCCTTCTCAAACTTTTTTCCACTGACTTTGGTATCCATGTACAGATCTTGCCTTCTTACTACTACTATAGTGTTTTCCCAATGATGATTTTCTCTTCCTCATTCCTTCTACCTTCACAAATTGGAATTATTCTGTAAGGAATAAAGCTATTTCTTCTCTTCTATTTATTCATTTAGTTAATGCTAGTATGGACTCCTGGATATTTCTTTTATTCTGTGATTTATAATCCAGTACAATCATTATTTTGTTGGCTCCATTTGTTCTAGTTTTGACCATTGGAAGCTCTTTCAGGTTGACTTCTGTTTACTTTAGACAAGCCCCCATCCTTTTTGGAGCATGTTTCTTAATTTCTGGCACCACAAGATGTTCCAGATTCTTTTTTTTTCTTTTTTCTTTTTTTTTAATTCAGAGGACAGAAAAGCTCCCACAGTGGGAGGGGACCCAAAAGGGTTGCTTGTTCCAGGTTCTTATATTTTCCCTGCTCTGGCATGGAAACAACCATAGAAACCAGGAGCTCTGGTACCAGAAAATGGAATTTAGAAATCAAGATCTGGGCACTAGGTATGCTCATTGTTACTGTTGTTTCTGTGTTTTTGGGCTGTCTTAGCAGTCAGAAATATATGGTATGTCAATGTTGTTTTAGTTTTCATTTTTAAATTACACAGTATGTGAGTCTGAACACTGTTTCACGAGAGGGGTCATTTTATATCTTTGTGAATTGGCTAACTATATATTTTACTATTTAAAAATAGGTTTTTAGGTTCCTTACCTTAGGGTTTTCTTTTAAATTTTTTTGAGACATAATCAGGCTGGACTCAAACTCCTGGGCTCAAGCAGTCCTCCTGCCTCAGCCTCCCAAATAGTTGGGACTATAGAATTTGCCCTCAATTTTTAAAGTATTCTTCATGTATCAGAGGTGCTAGCTCCTTGTGATATATAGTGTGAATATTTTCTCCTGGTTTGTCAGTTGTCTTTTGGCTTTGTTTATGATGTTCTTTGCCATGTAAAATTATTTTATGCAGTCATATTTATTGGTCTTTTCTTAGAATTATATCTTGACTGGTGTTTTATACAGATTCAATTCAGCTAATTTTATTGAGCATATCGGGTACCAAATGTGTGCTTGGCATTTCATATCAAGTTAAAATCAAACAATGTAGAGAAATTGTACATAACCTAAGTTTTAAAGATGAAGTATGGTTAGAAAAATCATACTGTGTCTATAAAATGAAAATAAAAACCAATATATTTGTATATACCCCGCTAATTTTTATGTTTTGTAGAGACAAAGTCTTGTTATGTTGCCTGGGCTAGTTTCAAACTCCTGGTCTCACACAGTCTTCCTGCCTCAACCTCCCAATGTGCTGAGATTACAGGCTTGAGCTACCACACCTGGCAAAATGAAATATTATAAAGATTAAAACTTGTTTTTAAGGTTTTGTAATGAAATGGGACAATGATCATGATATAGGGTTTTAAAAAGCAGCTTCCAAAAGTTTTTATTATATGGTGCAGTGTTTCGGAGAAAACATATGTCATCTATAGGAAAAAGTACAGTTGGAAATACTCTACAAAGGTTATCTAACAGTGGTTCTCTCTAGGTAGTAAAATTATCTATGAGTTTAATTTCTTCATACATAGTAGGTTAGTTGCCTAACCTCTCTGTGTCTCAATTTCTTCACCTGTCAAGTGGAGGTAATATATAATATCTATCTCATAGATTTTTTTGGTAAAGATTCTAAAAGGTGATGCCTGGCCCATAATGGCCCATAATAAGCCTTCTACTAGCTGATATTGATTATTATAACTTTTTTTAAAAACAAGAACCACAGATTACTATTCTGACAAGTAATATGATTTTAATACTGCTTTTTCTAGTTATTTAAAAATATGTTTTATTTTCTAATTTTAAAAGTAATACTCATTTTATAAAAGTAGAAAGATGTATAACCATAAAGAAGAAAAGGAATACCACCAAGTGATTATAAATGGTAGCTTATAAACTTATTTGACAAGAATCTTGACTATTTTATTTTCAATTTTATTTTTAAAATTATCATATAAAATTATCTGTATTTATCATTCACAACATGATGCACACATTATATAATGGTTAAATCTAGCCAGTCAACAAATGCACCTCACATAGTCACCTCTCCTATGGTGAGAACACTCAATACCTACTCTCCCCAGCATTTCTCAAGAATAAGATATATTATTATTAACCATAGTTACCATGCTGTACAGTAGATCTCTTGAACTTATTCCTCCTATCTGTGAATATATATTTTTTGACCAACATCTCTCGATTCAGCGTCCCCCAACCACCACAGCCTGGTAACCATCATGCACTCTCCTCCTATGGGATCAACTTTTTAAAATATTGCATGAGTGAGATCATGCAGTATTTGTCTTTCTGTGCCTAACTTATTTCATTTAACATAATGTCCTCCAAATTCATCCTTATTGTCATTAATGGCAGGCTTCCTTCCTTTTTTATGGCTATATAGTATTCCAATGTATGTATACTATGTCTTCTTTATTCATTTATCTGTTGATGAATACTTCGGTTGATTCCATATTTTGACTACTGTGAATAGTGCTACAGTAAACATGGGGGTGGGATGTCTCTTCAACATACTGATTTTACTTCCTTTTGATATATGATGGGGGATCCAAACAAACCCGGAATTTATCTATAAAATATGTGTATTTATTCTTACACATTTAAACTTCAGTTCTCTTTAAAGTACTCTCAGTTTGATGCAATACATCTATTGAGACCTTTTCCACTGCTCAAAACAATTTTTGAACTTGTCAATTTTGATGTCTTTTAGTGCTTCAGCTATTTTTTGTTTCACCTCTTCCACATCAGCAAAATGTTTCTCTTTGAGGACTTTTTTCATCCAGGGAAACCAAAAAAAGTAGTTTGGGGCAAGATCAGGTGAATAGGGAGGGTGGGGCATAGGGGTCATGCTGGTTTGGGTCAAAAACTGCCGAACACTCAGTGTGGTGTGAACAGGTGTGCTCATAAATCACCCATCATGAAATGGGCAAATGTGTTGAAAGAATCTCCAAAAAATAATTCACTGAAGCCAAACACAGCCTTTCACAACAATGCCAGCTGGTACACTGACGCCAATGGTTCCTAGAACACTTACTTAATGGGGAAAACCTGTATTACAAGGGGCCTGCCCTTTAAAAAGATAATTCTGTTATTGTTATTATTTTTGGAGGGAATTTCCTCTCATACCTCTCATACCCAGTAGTAGGACTGCTAGAGCATATGGTAGTTCTAGTTTTAATATTTTGAGAAACCTCCATACTGTTTTCCATAATGGTTGTTCTAACTTACATTCTCATTGATGAAGTGCAAGGATTTCTTTTTTTAATTTTATTTTAAAGATGTGGGGTACAATTCAAGATTATGTGTACAAGTGGTCATCATACAGGTAAAGTTTGGGCTCCTTTTCTTTACTATTATTTTAAAACTTGAAGTGAACAAATAACATTATCTTACATTTTCAAGTACTCTAAAAATTTCCATTGCATCAAGTTCAGGATAAATCAACAGGTTTTTTCAACCTTCAAAGTTGTCTTTAGTTTATATGTAGCTTGTCAAGATGGGGTGTTTAAATAATATCACTAAGAGCTGAAAATACAAGCCAGATTCTGCTTGAGTCTTTTTTTTTTTCTTCCCTCCCTCTCAGTTTAAGCCCCACCCCCTAAAGTCTTAATCCTTTCTTTCTTTTTTTTTTGAGTTGGAGTCTCACTCTGTTGCCCAGACTGGAGTGCAGTGGCTGCTTCCGGCCACCGCAGCCTCGACCTGCTGGGCTCCGGCGATCCTTCCGCTTCAGCCTTCCAAGTAACTGAAACTACAGGCGCG